TTAAGACATTTTTTGGACTGGTACTATGGATGGGATTGGTAAAATTGCCATCTATTAGGGACTACTGGAGCCGACAATCTATATACGACGTTAGATTTGGTAAATCAAAGATGTCTCGAAATCGATTTGAGCTCATTTTGACAATGATTCATTTCTCCAACAAAGAAGAATGTCCCGAAAGAGACAGATTATATAAAATACAACCTTTGGTCGATATGCTCGTACACAACTTTCAAACCCTATACACTCCTGATGAATTAATTTGCGTGGATGAAACAATGGTTCCCTTTAGAGGACGACTTGTTATGAGACAATACAATAAACAAAAACGACATAAATACGAAATCAAGTTGTTCAAAATATGTACTGGTATGGGCTATACCTACAACATAAAAGTGTATGCTGGTAAAAATGCCGAACTAGAGAAAACGGTTCCTGCTGATGTTATGTCATTAGCGGGTGACCTGCTAAATAAGGGTAGAACAATGGTTACTGATAACTGGTATACCAGCCTAGACCTAGCCAATAGACTATTAGATGTTAATACACATCTAATAGGAACAATAAATTGTAAAAGAAGGGGACTGTCTAAGGACGTGGTAGCAAAAAACATAAAGATGAAGAAAGGAGATATAATAGCGAAAGAAAATGAACGTGGAATAACAGTTTTAAACTGGAAAGACCAAAGAAACGTGTTAATGTTGTCCATGAGACATTCAATAGAGCAACAAGAAGTAAGATATAGAGGAACAACTAAGCTAAAACCAAAATTGATTTTAGATTATAATAAAGGTAAAGGAGCTGTTGATATTTCCGATCAAATAGGTGCCTACAACAATCCTTTACGTAAATCATTAAAGTGCTACAAAAAACTAGCTTTTGAATTACTACTTACCACTGCAGTAGTAAATGCACATATTATTTACAAAGAAATCCATAACGAAGATCTGTCCATAACTGATTTTAAAAAATATCTTTTAGAGCAATTGACTTGTAATCTCGAAGATGTTCCATTGACTACACCAAATTTAAAACATCATTTACAAAAAAAAAAACAGATCAAGTCATATAATAAGGCGTTTTTGTTCTAACTGTTATAAGATAACATCCCAAAGAGATGGAAGAAAGGCAGCTCAGAATAAAACAAAAAAAGTAACAACGTTCTGTTCCGGGTGTGTAGGAGAACCATCAATGTGCTTAGACTGTTTTAATTTGTTACATTAAATATACTGTTTTAGTTTTATTTGTACCGATTTGTATTTACAAAATATAAAAAATAAACACTTATTATTCGACCATACATTTTTTTTTTTTTTCACCCAGGGACCACATATTTATGTGAACATAAATTTCGCGGCCCATTCACAAATTATAATTCCCCTGGACCTTGACGGTCCGCTCATACCGTTAACCATATTGTAACTATGGTTCAACGGTCCACACAGTCATTTAGAATGAGGTGTGTTATGACGGTCCCCACGGACCAACAAGGTCCAATTTCAAAAATCATTGACGGTCCGTAGGGACCGTCATGGCGCTTAACGTGTTAAACGCGGTTAGGCACTACTTTATTTCACAACAGATAGTTTCACTTCCTTCGCCTTCCCCAGACATACTGACTCATGGTCGCACCCTAGCCTGTTTATACTCCAATTCCTGCCATCTCGAAGTTAGTAGAATTCACCAGAACTTTTTCGAAACACTAAAGTTTATCACGAATGTTTAATTATTACTGCGATTTTAAAAGTTTTGTTAGTGATAGAGGGTACTACTACTACCTATTTCCGCTTTTGACCACTAGCGAATTTAGAAAGCGTAGCAATTATAGATAATTGCAGAAAAATTAAAACTGTTTTTGCCCTTAAAAATTACTAGAGTAATCAGTATGATCCTAAAGCTGTAATCAGTAAGGTCCTGATCTAGATTATCGCTACATGTACACAAAGTTCACAAAGAAAACAATAGAACTTTTCGAGGCCAATAGTCGGTGGATTATATTGGACACTTAGTTATGAAGGCTTTAATATACAGGGTGCGGCACCGAAAACGAAACAGATCGCATATCTTGAAGACACATTTTTTTAGAGAAAATTCAAAAAGAGGTCGATTTTTATTTTAAAGGGGACATCTTTCGATCATATCCTCAACTATCCTACATCCTCCCCACCCCTCTGTCACTATTACCAATGAAATTGAAATAGGGAAAGTACTAAGTGTGACACATCAATGAAATGGTAATTTTATAAGGAATTTGACTGTGTGATAGTTTATTACGTAACTTTTGATTTTGGCTCCATCTTGCGGGAAAAGTTTCCGTATTTTAAATAACGATACTTCATTTGAAAGTAAAACTCATTTAATAGCAAAATCATAATAAAAATAAAAAAAAACAATAGAAAAGTGATCAGAAAAACTAAATTGAAAAATTTAGGACAACTCCCATAATTAAAAACTAAATAACTTCAAAGTAAATGCTCAAAGTGTTGTCCATTAACTTCCATACACGAATATAAATTATTCTCAAATCTTTGTCTGACGTTTTGGAGCATTTTTGGAGTTATTTGACGACATCCGGTAATAATACGTTCACGTAACTTTTCTAAGGAACCTGGCTGAGTGGCGTATGTTTTACTTTTCAGATATCCCCATGAAAATTATTCTAAGGGGGATAGATCAGGAGATCGTGGGGGCCATTCAATAAATCCTCTTCGTCCAATCCAATGTCTAGGAAAGTTTTCATTTAAGTACTGATGAACCGTCCTGTTGAAATATTAGGTGATCTTAAAGGTATCGGTTATCGTTTTCTATTATGTCTGTTAACAGTGGATCAACGGTGTTTTCGAGTAATTCCAAATACATATCCCCAGTTAAAGTACCGGTAAAAATAATGGACCAACAATACGATCGTCAAATATTCTAGCCCAAACGTTTACCTTTTCTGGGTGTTGAGTATACGTTTCATGAAATACTCTTGGATTGGAATCTGACCAGTATCGATAATTATGTCGATTGACAGTCCCGTTAACATAAAAACTGCATTCATCTGAAAAACAAATGTTATAAAGAAAATGTGGATCTTGTATAGCATGCTCGCTCATGATTTCTCAAAATTGCAAGCGGCGATCAAAATCGTCTTCGTTAAGTTCCTGAACTAAATTAATTTTATAGGGATGGAATTTGTTGGCTTTCAAAATTCTCCTGACGATACGGTCACTTACTCCAGATAATTATGCAAGCTTTCTTGTACTAAGAGTTGGATCTACAACAACTTGTCCTAAAACGACTACCCCCACGGCTTCGTTTCTTACTGGATTTTGAATCTGCCGTTTTTTATTTTGAACAGATCCTGTTTGTCGAAATTTTGAAATAAGTTCCAAAACGTACTCACGTTTAACCTATTTGTTTGGGTGTCGCTCGTTGAAAATTGTACAGGCAGTGTTAGCACATTCGTTATTTTTTAAATAACATTTAACAATTCCTACTCTCTCCTGAATAGAATAAAACATTTTTATGTTTTACTCGCTAATAGACTTGAAGTATCAATGACACTTAACTAAAAAACAGACCTGTTAGTTATGAAAATAATAGTATATTAAAGTATAAGTAGATATAACGGTCTTTAAAACACGCGCGATTTTTCGAGCACGACGGCGCAGCCGGAGTGCTCGAAATAGAGCAAGTGTTTTAAAGACCAGTTATCCACGAATACTTTACGCTATTTTTTTTATTGGTATACTTTGAAATCCTAAATATTGGTATTATTTCTACAAAAAAATAAAAATAAGAACTAATAACTGAAAATGGTTGAATTTGTGATGTAACATCAGTATACCTCGTTGTCATGAAAATGAGAAAAACAAAAATTCATTTACAATCTGTCACGTAAGATTAATTGTCGCAACAGTTATTATTGTTTAAAATAAGTTAAAATATTGAGTATTTAAATAATAAAGCAGAATCGCGCTTAATACCACAAAAATCCGAAGCAGTTTATATAAAAGAATACGATAAATTCAACACGTGGATGGAAGAGCAAATGGTTACACATATAGATGAACGAGTTGTTCTCGCTTATCTCCAGAAAATGTCGAAACAGTATAAAGTATCTACTATGTGGACTATCCATTCAAAATTACAAAGTATGTTGAGGATAAACAAAAGGGTCGATATAAAATCGTTCGTCAAAGTGCATGCATTCATGAAGGCAATTAGCAAAAATAAGGTATTTAAGAAGGCATATGTATTCGATGAAGACAATTTGCGGAAGTTTTTTACAGATGCACCGGACATTACGTATTTATTTTTGAAGGTGTTGAATACATTTTTTGAAAAATTTCTCAGAAATATTTTATTTGACATTACAAGGCACTCCTGTCAGATCAATATTTACAAAGTTGGCATTTAGACATCACGTTTCTCGGGTTGTTGATGTTGCCATGGTAACATTAAAACACGCGCGTTTTTTAAAGTTCGTTTTAAACACGCGTAAATAAGTAAAATAGGGTACCAATAAAAAAAACCTTTATTTTTATTTTACGAAAACATAGGCGTAGTAAGTTCAATTTTATTCCAAAGGTAATTTTTAAATTTGGCTTTCACATGACAATACGCTTATTTGAACTGTCACATGTCACACAGTCAAATTCCTTATAAAATTACCTTTTCAATGATATGTCACACTTAGTACTTTCCCTATTTCAATTTCATTGGTAATAGTGACAGAGGGGTGGGAAGAGATGTAGGATAGTTGAGGATATGATCGAAAGATGTCCCCTTTGAAATAAAAATCGACCTCTTTTTGCATTTTCTCCAAAAAAAATGTGTCTTCAAGATATGCGATCTGTTTCGTTTTCGGTGCCGCACCTTGTATATCTATGCCCACATGCTTTTTTACGGATTCGCACACTGAGTTCCTCCACCTGATTTCAACTTGCAATATTTATTTAATTTTAGAATTTATATAGTATTTTATATTTTGTTGATGATTTTTTTTTTCACAGATGCTGATAACATCGTCCATATTCTTAGATTTTATAATACTGTTGGTAACGGGGCTTTATATTTTACACATCTATATATCTAGAAAGCACAAATACTGGAAAAAACGTGGGGTTTATTTTTCAAAACCGAAACCATTTGTTGGAAATTTTTTAGACATAGTTCTATTGAAAAAATCTTTAGGAGACTGGTTAAAAGATTTATATGATCAGGTATTTTTTGTTCCTAAATTTCATATATTTATCGTATTTTAACTCATTAACATTTAATTTTCTATTTTCTTTTTTTTTAGATTGATAAAGACTTTTTTGGTATCTATGTTTTTGATGATCCTTTTCTCGTTGTGAAAGATCCAAAATTAATTAAAAACATTTTAATCAAAAATTTTAATAGTTTTGTGGATAGGACTGTCTCGCCTCTCGACCATTCACCGTTTACTGCTCACATGCTTCTGTTTCAAAAAAATCCAGGATGGAAATTAGGACGATCTAAACTATCTGCAGCTTTCAGTTCTGGAAAAATGAAGTCTATGTTTCCCCTTTTACTGGAATCAGCAGACGATTTGGTACATTTTTTGCAAAAAAATCAAATTTCACTAGAGACTAGAGAACTATTTGCTAAGTATACAACAGATGTGATTTCAAAATGTGCTTTTGGTAAGTATTAACTATATACAGGGTGTGTCATTGCGAAGTGTCTATACATTAAACGCAGACAAAACACAATTATTAGACAATTCCAAAACAAATAATAATTGTTGGGTGTATCCCCCCTACTATCTGAGACACAAAGTGTTTTATTATATAGTTTTGGTATCTTTTTTTTTATATTTCAGATAGGACCTTCTTTTAAGGTATTCAAGCGATTAGAATATTTGCAAGTAAAAAATTCAGTTCCGAATTAGGAAAAAATGACAAATTTTTCCAAATTGCTTTACCGTTTATAAAGAGCACAAACAATTGAATTTGACGATGTATTTTTTAATTACTACTAAAATTTAAACTTCAAATTTAGAGTTTATCAGAATTATGTTGTTAAAAATATAATTAGTAAGCTATTTAATAATCGTTTGACATTTTAATTAATATTATACATTCCAATGTACTAATTTTTAGAATTTATGATGAAATCATTTTCTCCTAATCAATCAACATATCTAATTAAAGGTCTATTTTGTATAAAATCATTTATATTATAGCAAAGGTAGTCTTGATTGCTATGTATTTTTGTGAGTTCGAAGAGCCCTTTTTATTTATGGAAAGTCTTAAAACACAGCGTTAAAACTTAGTGGCATTAGTTTACTACACACGCAACAATTAAAATAACAAAGAAACTCAAATTTAACCAATCGTAATATCCAATCAGGTAGAAATTATGTCCAAGGGTAGGCAACTTTATATACACACAAGGTGTATATCGGGTTGTCGTAATGGTAGGGTATTATACTGTTAAAATTTTAACTTGCCTCAAATATATTTTTTTAATTTTTTTGCAAAATAGTTTTGCAAGCATTTGGCAAAATTAAAAACCCGACTAAATAATCTGGCTTAATAATTTTTTACTCTCTAAAAATTTTCGATTTAAAAATAAAAAATTATTATTATCTCAAGGATATTTTTGCAAAAAATTATTTCTCACTTTGGAAATGGGGTTGATTTAGCCCCATTACTCAGCAAGGTCCCAGTAGTTCTGTCAGGAGCGTCTAATTCAGACCTACGATCGGATCGTAGATCGGATACATTGCTCATGACGATTTATTGACAGATACTGCGAATTTTTAAACATTAATGTAACTTGAAGGCGGGAAAATGAAACGAGCATGTATTTTTTGCGTCTGTCAAAGTTGAAGTAAATATGTTTATGGAAAAATAAAAAGTTAATTTAATGTTAAGTATGCGTTATATCTTTATTTATTCGGTTTTGGTTGACTTAAAGATCAACTAAATCCATAGTTGTACAAGCTTTAGCTAGAAGTTTTATAATAAAAATTGCATTTTTCATGTATGGCAAGTACTAGTAAAAAGTGTATTTTTCTTAAGTCTATCAGACTACTTCCATAATTCGTAAGTAATAAAAAAGGGTTATGGAAAAATCAAGCATATCTGAGCCTTTTTTAATGGCAATTTAGATTTAATTTAGAGACTATTGCATACTTCAAAACATATTTTTTTGATTATTATAGGGATGGCTTTTGGATCACTAAAAATTAATACAACCTGAGTATAAAATGAAAACAAAACAAATAAATATATTTTATTTACAATTTAATTGAACATTTTACTTGAAATAATTATGATCATGAGAAGGATCTTGTGAAATAAATAGGTCATTATTAAGGATTTCTTTTATAATTAAAGTTTCCTCTTTTGTAGGCTTTTTATTATATGTTTTTGACCTTTTCTTTGTAGTTGAAAAAAAAGATTGCTTTTCTATTTTTTGATTTGGAGCAGTTTTAATACTTGTATTAATCCCTGCTTCAAACTCAAGTTGACTTTCATCAATTTTAAGCAATAAATCAATTTTATTTAGTTGTTGTCTGCACTGTGACAGAATGTTCTTGTGATTTCGTTGATATTCTACTTATAATTTTTAAACATTCATTTTTAAGTTGTTTAATTTCCTCCTCTGAATTATTTTTTCTTAGGGTGTCCATGTGAATACTGAGTTCTGTATTATCATCAGTTACGGATAAAGGTTCTTCTTGTTTCCTTTTCTTCTTTAGAATAGTTTTTCCTTTTTTATGTTTAATTATTCTTAAAACTGTTTTGTCCCTAACATATTTTATAATAGCATTTAATCCTTTGTCCAACCTTTGAACTTTTGTGCCATTCAAGTAAGCATATTTAATAGTTTTGTGAGCTGCTTTTAAATGCATATTTGTATTATTATTACATTTTTTCTGTAACACCATGCCCACTGCTTGAAATTGTTTGTATAGTTTTCAATAAAATAACTTGCAAATACTTGTGTTTCTACATTTTCTGAAAAATATATGCATACTTTTTCTAATTCCTTCTCAAAAATAAATTCGTTCTCAAAATTCTGTAAATACTTGATCATTTTGTAAACTTGTTCTTTTTTTTTCAACATTTTTTATTTTGTTTAAATTTTTCTGCCAAGCACGGTCTACGTGCCAAGCACAATAAAGTTGAAATTCAGGAGGTCCCATTATTTCACACCATGCATTGAAGAAAACAGAAGTTATATCTGACATGAAAGTTTTTGTTGAAATCTTCCCAACTTTCTCTTGAATTTTAAAGAAAAATAATTTAAAAACCCCAGTGTCTTTTCTGTTTGTAAACATAGTTGCGCAAGGGAATCCTTCCCGAAATTCATCTAGGACCATTAGAGTAGTACACTCAAAATCATATTTATTAAGACCGTGTGTGGAATCTATACAAATCACATCATTTCCAAATTTTTTTAAAATAAATTTCTGAGATGTATTCATTAAAATTATACAAAAATCTTGTATTTCGAGTGTACTACATGGATGACCCTGTTGCTTATAGAATAAAACTGGATTTTCAGCTTCTAGCCTTTTCTGTTCTTCTACCCACATGTTGACACTAACAGGATCATTTTTATTGCGTCGACCATCATCTTTCACATTATGAATCCCAAATGAATTTTTTATATTTGTGACGTCTTTTCGAGTCAATAGGTGGATTCTTTTAAGTTCATCTTCTACAATATTATCTCTTGTTTGATCTACAATTCTGAAATAAAAATCAAAAACTGTATTATAAAAGGATTATTTTTAAGGTGCAATCTGAGTTACTTACCGTGACATGGATACACCAGAAAGTAACTTATTAGCAATTATGCGTTTTTCTTTTATGGGAATCCTCACATGTTCAACATCTTCATTATGTTTATAATGAGATTTGTACCATGTAATTTTAATAACAGAATTATTTTCTTTCACAATAATTTGGCTAGTGCACAGAAAATTCAGTTTACAACTTCCTTGACTTTTTGTAACTCTTTTCTTGGTGGGTTTATCTTTCACGTTGACAGCACTTCTGTTGCAGTTATAATAAATATTTGTTCTTTTCGGATCTTGACCCTTTTGTACATAACTAATAGATCGTTCTGACTGAACGATATCAATCCATTTCTGAAATTCTGAAATAAAAGTATATGATTTAGTTTGTATCTATTTATTTTACTAAACTTTGAAAAAATTTTAATTCTGGGCACTTACCATCTTTACTATGAAATTCTAATTTTTCAGTGTCACTTATAAAGTTATGAAAAGTCTCTAAATGATATCTTAAATCAGAAATAAATCTATAAGAGCACTGACAATCCAGACAGCTTTATAAGTATGAAAAGAATATGATACAACATTTTTTTCGACTTCGTGGTTTTTCTTCAAATGTTCGTGTAACGCACTTTGATGTTTATATATTTTGGCACAAATTAAACACGTTACTGCCATTTTCTGTATAACTAATATATTTCGGTAATATAAAATATAAACCAAAAAAACTTTTAAAGCAAAAAAATCCAATAAAATAAAAACTACAAGAGAACAATTTTAATTATTAAAAATCAAAATTGACAGTTGACAGCTTAAACAGTTAAAAACCTCACATGCGCAATAACATCGATACGAGGTCCGATTTAGACGCTCCTTAGGGTATTATAGGAGAGGTAAACGACAAGTTTTGCGCTTGCCTCAAATACCTACCGAAAAATGTCTACCAGCTCTCCTACTAATGGATTTCTATGATATAGAGAAAGTAAAAGTTGAAAAGTCTTTTGGTAGGTAGCGAGAGGGTAAACGTCAAACCACGTCGGGCGGCTCCGAGAATTTCACAGTAATGTTTACCTGCCAGTGTCGTTTCATAGAATAAGTAATTTTAAATTGTTATCGGCGGAACCGGACAATCGCACGTATTTATGGATTATAAATAATTATTTAACATGTATTATAATATTCAAATTATAATTTTACAAAATTTCAACAGCTATTCACAATTTATTAAACTATTTACTCGATATTGTTATTAACATCTATAAAATAATTTTGTACGCCAATGTATCGCGTCCACTTCGGTGAGATCCGCTGCCAACCTGTCAATTTATGTGTATAAAGTGGGAGAACTGGCAAAAGCATTTCCAACTTTTACTTCTGTTCTATCATGGCATGTGGTGGCTTTTTATGGACAGTTTCTTGTACAGTTAGAACATAAAGATCTGGTATAATAAACAAATTTTTTTTAAACAAGCAATAAAATACGATAGAGCGTAATGCGTCAAGGCAGTGATTCCCATATTGTGCTCCGCGGCGCCTTCACAGGAGCGGGGCGCCACGAAATATTGTAAAAGACACGTTAACAGTAGCTATTTATGCAACCAGTTACGAAATGCTTTATTTTATGAAACAACGAATATTTGCTGGAAGAGCAGAGCGAGGTCCCGCAACATGAACAAGTTACATAAAACGGCATTTTGTAACGAGTTACATACAACAAAATTTCTAATTTTGACTAGATTATAAAACTGTGTTTTGGTAAAACATTACTGACATCAAGGCAACTAATATTACTCTCTTTCTTATATTTTTAGTTGCATGCGCATCATTTTATTGATAAGTAGAAGCTCATATTAATTTTTTATTCTCAACGAATTGCAGAATATTTATAAAGATTGTTGAAGGTATTTAGATTTTAAGAAAGTGGGTTTATTTGGTCAGGTATTGTTTTTTAAATATTTTTTGCAGATTTAAAATGGAAAATAATGACCAAAACAACATTATAATTAGGTTGTCAATTTAACCAAATTCTATTTTCATGAATGATATAAACCTTCAGTAATAATGTATTTTATTCATTTTAAAACCAAAAAAAGTTTATTTTTATTCTATTTCTTTTTGCAACTGATAATGAATTTTGCAACTCCACTTTTTTACCTTTTTACTTTAATCGTAAGTTCATTTGGTCAGATTCAATTCAATTTTGATCTTTTTTTATTTAACACATCGCATCAAACAATTTCTGGAATATAAATAATTTTTTGAAATAACGAATTTATGACCCACACTTAAGTTTTAAAAATTTTTTGGTGTTACATAACCTGTTTGAAATTTTACTTTATATTCAGCATTTTTATGCCTGACAGTGTTACCTAGAGGCCGAAACTAGTTGCCGCTTGAAAAACAATAAAATTCAGAGGTAAAATATTGAAGTAACTCACATTCCATTGCTGGCCCACTGGCATTACCAATAACTAGCTTAAATTGTTTAAATGATGACAATAGCTGCAGTATAGCAAAACTATTGCCATAAACTCGCATTATCTAAACGAACCTTTAAGATGCTGTAAATATTTTGCAGGTATTCATTCCCACAGTTTCGAAAGTAGTGACTCTATGTTTACAATCCAAAGACGAAAGATATTCGAGTTTTCATTAAGAAATGCATTTACTCAAACCATGTATTTCTTGAAACCTAATTGGGTGACTAGATTTAAAATGGAATTTATAGAAAAAAAAATTATGGAATACTTCACACGAGTGTTTATGGAGTCTCTTAGAGCACGCACTACGAAGAACAAAACATACAGCGATCTTATTGATATTATGAATGAATTAAAAGAGACAGAGAAAATGAAAGATGATGAGAATGATGAAGTGATGTTTTGCGGTGCAGCATTAAATTTTTTCATTGCTGGCTTCGAACCTGCAAGCACCACAATATCTTATACACTTTATGAGTTTGCAGTTAATCCTCATATACAACAAACTGCAAGAGAAGAGGTAGCGGCTGTCATTAAAAAACACGGCGGGATTACTTTTGATGCTCTTCGCGACATGCCTTATTTTGACATGTGTATAAATGGTAAGTTAATATCTAATAATCTACAATTCAGCGCATATATTTAACAGTTTAGGTTAAGTATAGTATAAAAGGCTTGAGCACAGTTTATAGCTAAAGAATCAGTTAGCTCACTCGAACCAACTGGATCTTCCAAAATATCATTCACTACAGGGATACAAATTCAGGATGCGCAGAAGACTGCTGTTTGAATATAGGCGGTTGTCATATATTGTATTAGGCATTTCAAACAAATGAACTGTTGGTGGGAAGATTTGATATATCCAAGGATTGCGACATACGATGTATTCTGTTTACAATACGTAAAATCATGAAAAATGGATTACATTTAAATATTTTATGTCAAATACATGTTCATGTATCTTATTCTTATACAGGGGGTTTCAAAAAGGTATGTCATAAATTCATCCCCAGATAGATTATCAAAAAATAAGTGGATTTGGCTATATTTACCTATATCAAAAACTGACTCCCAACAAAGTTACAAGGTGTTAAACTAACATTCAGAAAAAAGTTTTTTTTTTTGTAAAAAGTTTGCTGTTGCGATTTTCTCTTCGAAATTTTTGCCAGTGTTGTAGATTTGAAGGCCCAATATTCTAAGGATAAAAAAAATTTTAAGCGACCTCTTTAAAAAAAGGTGGGGGTTGGGTACCTTTTAACCCCCTCGTCTTTTTTTTGACATAAAGAAACTTGCTTTATCGATCTTAAAATCAAAAAGAACTATGAATTTTTTAATTTTTTTTATAGCGAAATGAACTTTGTATTTATCTTATTTAACGAGCTATTTACAATTTTTTAACTGAATTTCTAGAGCAATTCGTCCGTCTTGGACTTAAAATATCAACAAAACTAAAAGTAGGTCAGGAGTATTTGTACAAAAAACGCATATAAAAATCAGTGGTGTGCTCAGGGCTGTGCTTGAGCCGCCCCTGCAAAAACTAACTGTCTTTTATTTATATTTTTGTATTCAAGAAGGAGGAGGACATGTTAAATATTTACTAAATTAAATAGTTTATAAAATATGTATAAAAATTATTATTAAATGTTTATTTTTAATTGTTAATTTTTTGTTAATTGCTTAATTAAACAAATAATTTTTTTATTTACTATTAAATTTAATAAATACATTTCCCAACTAACGTGTATTTTTATCAGTGGCATGGTGAACCCATGAGGCACACCATTTTTATGGCGCCAATCCAATATTATTTAAATACCTTTTTTACATAAATATAAATAAAAGAGGTAGTTTTTGCAGGGGTGGCTCAAGCACAGCCCTGAGCACACCACTGATTTTTATATGCGTTTCTTGTACAAATACTCCTGACCTAGTTTTAGTTTTGTTGATATTTTAATTCCAGGACGGACGAGTTGCTCTAGAAATTCAGTTAAAAAATTGTAAATAGCTCGTTAACTAAGAAAGATACAAAGTTCATTTTGCTAAAAAAAAAATTAAAAATTCATAGTTCTTTTTGATTTTAAGATCGATAAAGCAAGTTTCTTTATGTCAAAAAAAAGACGAGGGGGTTAAAAGGTACCCAACCCCCAACTTTTTTTAAAGGGGTCGCTTAAATTTTTTTTTTCTTAGAATATTGGGCCTTCAAATCTACAGCACTGGCAAAAATTTTAAAGAAAAAATCGCAACAGCCATCTTTTGACAAAAAAATAACGTTTTTCTGAATGTAAGTTTAACACCCTATAACTTTGTTGGGAGCCAGTTTTTGATATAGATAAATATAGCCAAATCCACTTATTTTTTGGTAATCTATCTGAGGATGAACTTATGATATATCCTTTTAAAACACCCTGTATTTAAAAAGATCTTTTAAGAAAAAATTAAATTAAATCACCATGGTGCGAATTCTTGATTTTTGTTAATTTTTCAAGGTTCCGGACCTTGTCCGTGTTGGATACACAATATTAACTAAACACCCTATTTTAATTTTTATAATTTTGTTATATTGTAATTGTCATATTGTCAGTTTTTATAAAATAAATAAAAGTCAGATTGAAGAAATTTAACACTTAATTTCTATTATATTGTGTGATATCTGAAATTCCACGAAGCTCTACAGTCCGAGGTTGCAAATTTACCAGATTGTTAAGAAAAATAATATTAATATTGCAACCAATTTTCAAAATTTTTGCATTTTTTTGACAAAACTAGAGGAAAATAAAAAAATTATTAAGATATTTTTACAAAAAAAAATATATATATTTTACAAATAAAAATCTTGTTTCGAACTTTCAAAATATGATATATTATTGAAAATAATACAATATATTGCTTTAAGTTTGCAGCACTTTTGCATTTTTTTTTTTGAGAAAAAGTTGCAAAATTAAATTTACAATTATTTCAATTTAATAAATATTCCAACAGAGTTTAAAAACTTTAATGTGAATTGAATATCTCTAATGACTGGCCTATTATTATATTTCCTGTTCTCCTACCTGATACTGTTTGCTGGTTGTAGAGAACACCAGCTCTAATTCCTGTCTGGTCTCCCCTTTCTACTTAAAACTCCTTCCTGTTACATATCTACCTTTTATTTATTTTTATTAATTTAAATAAAATTTTATCTACCTTTACTTATTCTTTATTTACTTTGTTTCTCTTACGCAACGAAAACAAACATAAAATTCAATCTCAAAATTCTAACATAAAATCCCTCTGGCAATACCAATCTGATAATAAATCATTTCTGATGACAATTCCCAAAATTACATATTCAATCTAGTCACCATTGACGGAAAATACCCCGAGGCCGTTCCATATAATTAACTCACGTCAACGATACAGATACAGAACGAATCCATGGCAATAACAGTTTAATGATGAAATCACGATGATACATATGTTACTGTTTTAATATTTATTATTATTATTATTATTATTATTTCCTCCTCTTTCCAAAGGCATTTGTTAAGCCTCGGCATTTCTACCCCTAAAGCCGCTCGACTATGCTACTGAGGGGTAATTTTATCTTTTTCTAATTTAATTTAATGTTTCCTTCGGGACCCCAGGAACCTTTGGCTGATGACAGTGCTGCCTTAATCCCTGACAACAATAGCTAAAGATCTATCAGTTGCTACGAATGGGTCTTTAGACTAACTGATTGTTACATTTGGTGACAACAGTAGTCTTTTAGACTAACTGATTATATACCATTAATTAAATGAGACAAATAAACTTATTGAAGATGGCCGCCAGGTTGAATTACCTTCTGAATTTCCCTTAATTAAAGTTACCGAGTAAGTCCATTAATCACTTTCTCGGCTTTTCTTGATTCGCTATTAATAGAACTCTTTTCAGAAACTTTACGAAAGTATCCAGCGCTACCATTTCTTCAAAGAAATTGCAATGAAGACTTTCCTGTTCCTGATAGTGATTTTGTGATTGAAAAGGGCACACCAATTCTAATACCACTCACGGGACTTCAATTAGATGAAAAGTTATTTCCAGAACCATACAAATATGATCCTGAAAGGTTTAAAAATAAGACCGATAGTGGTAATGGCTTATACTTTCTACCTTTTGGAGATGGACAAAGAGCTTGTTTAGGTAATTCAAAAACAGTTTATTTATATTTTTATCTAGTTAATATAAAATACTAAATCAATAAAAAAACACACCTAGTAATATATTATACTGCAATTAGAGTATCAACAATTATAGTAACGAAACTTGGTCATGGAACAGATTAGATTTTTAAAATATACATCTATCATGAATTCGAGAAGAATAAATTATACTTTCTATTACACAATTAAATTAATATTTAATATTAAGCCAAAATAATTCTTTTTATGAGCTACCATTATGATCAGTTTTTAACCTGACAACACATTTCTTGAATTTTTCATGAAGAAATCAATTATAAATCTAAATTTTAAATTAAATATGACATGTTCCAATTTTATGCTCCTTGGTGGAACCGTCATCTGTCAAACTTACGATCCAAAGTGCGGAAGCTCTATAATACCGAGGCACTTATTACCTACAACAAAGAAATCAGGAGAGCTAAATGTGACAGCTTCAGAAAATTCTGTGAGGATATTAACTCTACACCTGCGGCAGTGAGACTGCACACGGCCTGGCAAAAAAGGGAGTTGAAACAGTTATGGCATTAAAGAAATGGAAGCTTCACGTAGAGTGAGGAGGAAAGAGCCCACCTCTTACTCAAAAGTCACTTTCATGGAAGCACAGCTTTACTAAAAAGGTACACAACTAAGGTAAGCAGGCTTCCAAGAGAAGCAGGTGTAGTTAACAAACACTTATGTAGCAGAAATCGGTTAAAGTGGGCCGTAAACACTTTTGAACCATTTAAGTCTTCAGGTGTGGATAAAATATTTCCTGCCCTGCTTCGGCGGACACATGAGAAATTACTACCACAAATAATCCGGCAATCCCGGAGCAGTCTGGAGCTGCGATATATACACCAGAAGCATGGAGAAGGGCAAGAGTCCCCTTTATTTCAAAAGTAGAGAAAAAGGATACCACACATCCTAAATCCTTCCGACCAATCAGCCTCACATCCTTTTTATTACAAACAATGGAGAAGGCTGTTGATAATTATATAGAGGGTGCCACTCCACCACAGCCAACACGCGTACCGAGCAGGAAGATCTACAGAAATTGCCCTGGTACAATTGACTAACGAAATCCAGGATGTACTGACAAACAAAGAAACGGTCGTGTGTGCCTTCCTAGACATAGAAGGAGCATTTGACAATACGCCACACGAATCTGTCTAAAGACGACTTACATACAGAAGAGTATATTACATCACATTCAGCTGTTATCTACGAGAACTGCAGAGACACAGATAGGGCAGGACACTATCTCCACATCCAGAGGATGTCCACAAGGAGGAGTTCTATGGCCACTAATGTGGAGTCTAATCGTAGACGAACTTCTATGCAGATTGACTGACCTCGGCATACCCTGTCAAGGTCATGCCGACGACATAGTCATATTTGCTAGAGACAAGTTTGGAAACATCCTGTGGGATATACTCCAACGAGGACCAGAACATACCAAAAGATGGTGCCGTTAAGTCGGACTTAGTATAAACCCTACAAAAACAATACTAGTAGCCTTTTCAAGGAAAAGAAAACTTATTCTCAAAACCGTTAAATTAGACGGGATAGATATAGAATGGAAAAATGAAGTCAAATATCTAGGCCTAACCGTGGACAACAAGCTTCTCTGGAACACATATGAGAAGGAAGTAGTAAATAAGGCCACAAAAGCCTTAATGGTATGCAAAAACATTTCGGGTAAACGATGGGGATGTAACCCAAACATACTGCGATGGTTGTATACTGCAATAGTGAGACCAATCATCACTTACGGGGCTATAGCCTGAAAAAACAGAACTTGTTTAGCTACTACGAGAGCTAATATCTCAAAAGGACAAAGACTAGCCTGTGTTTACATTATTGGTGCAATGAGAACCTGCCCTACGGCCGCAATGGAGGTGATCTTAAAACTCACGCCTCTACATTTGATAAGAGAATGTGGCAAAAAAAGCACGATATAGAATGATCAGGAACGAAATAATCAGATGAAAGTCTACTTGCTTCAGAACTAAAGATACCTAGGACATGCCCCAGGATAAAATGCTGAAGCAGTACAGTTTTGTGAAAAACTTCAAAACCACAGAGCTAGGCTGCAAGAAAGAATGGAGCCAAGAATCCATCGCGCTTGCAACCGAAAGACATGCTGTTATGAATAGAATACTCAATTAATTTCTTAATATTTATTATTTTTCAATATGTGTTGTATTGCACCGTTTCACCAAATCTGGAGGACGGCGGTGTGAATAGTTTATTAAAACTAAACTTTTTTTGACCGATCGTTAAATTGGTCCGAAGAGACACAAATTGATCGTGATAGAATAAAGGCGATAAAGGTGAATACGGCCGGGGTTGTGCTTTACGATGATTTGATTGTTTTCCGCTTTTGTTGTGATTTCCTCGCTATTCTCGAAGCTCCGATTTTTCCACGAGATCCAGGTACCTGGAAGATACTTCAACAGGAAGAACTAAAGGTAAGAGGTGCAATACTCTATTTTTTTTACACATGCAATCACTATAACTCTTCCAAGCAATTACCTTTTTCTTTTAATTCCTTTATGAGCCATCGATTCGTAACACATGCTATTCAGTGGTATACGGACGGATCCAAAACAAAAGAAGGAACTGGAATAGGAGTGTATGATCCGAGAACCAAGCACTCCGAAGGCTTGGGAAAATACCCAAGCATCTTCCAGGTGGAAATTCACGCCATCAAGAAGTGTATCCAGTTTAACATCGAGAGAAACTCTCATACATAAGAGATTATCATCATGGCCGATAGTCAAGCAGCCATCAAAGCGCCGAGATCTTACGTAGTCAGCTCAAAAATGGTCTAGAGATGCCTAGAATGAGCTAGGCGACAAAAATACAGTTACTCTCACTTGGGTCCCGGGACATAACGTGGTACAAGGTAATGAGATTGCAGATAGTCTTGCAAGGAAAGGGGCTCAAACACCCTCTGTAGGACCTGAGCCGTTCTGTTATCAGCAGTAACATAATATTAGGAGAAAATATAAAAGAATTGGGCAGTAGAAGAACCGATAATTGGAACCATCTCTTGAGGCTGAGACAGACTAAGACACTTCTGGGTGAATATAACCAGAAAAGATCGGAAGCCTGCATCTACCTGAAGAAAAACAGGCTACTTATTGTAAAAGAGATTCTTATCGGGCATTGCCGACTAAAAGGATACCTTAGAAAACTAAGAGTAATAGAGGGGAGTAAGTGCAGATTCTGTGAGGAGGAGGACGAAACCTCAATTCATATTCTAACTGAATGTGTAGCACTCCAGAATCCAAGGGCACTATATCTAGGAGGATATCAAATAGAAGAGGAAGATTTACCTAACTTGAAGCAACTCCAAATCCTACACTTTCTTAAGAAAATAGGATTCGAAGGGTCGTTATAGGTAATGAGACATTTACTTGGTGCATTAGCGATAAAAAGTGGCACAAAATATCTTTTAGGTCGCAGTGTATTAACACCCTATTCCCAACATTACATAACATAATTTTATCTAAAAATTCAGACATACCAATTTACCAAACAACCAACCTAAATAATATTCTAAATAAATGTTTTATATTGTGTCATGTGTTTGTTTCTTAATATAATCATTATACGTATAGGGTACTGGTGATTATTATGCATATTACTCATGGAGGTCTCCATGATATTACTCTTAACACTTAACCTCACTTATTTACAATTTTTGTTGTTATTTTGGCACACTTGTTAAACTAACATGACACAAAACTTTATAACCATTTTCATTGTGAAGGAATTTATAATTTTATTCATCAAGAAGAGCTTGGGGCAGTAAGGGACCTAAGCCACAATTTTTGAAATTTTACGATTTTAGGGCATCTGTAAAGAAGGTCTTAAGCCACCATATAAGTTGTACGGCTATTGCACGACGGATGTCGCCACCAAGCTATAACGACCTTGTTGCCGATTTATTGGAAAAATTTTAAGCAAGAACGCCACAAGCCAACAAAATCAACATGGCGACAGGTGACCGAATATTGTTAAAGCGAAAACATGTGTTTTATAAAGAAACATATAGTATTTCAGGTTCGGATTTTGACTCAGACGATTAAGTAAAGGATCAGAAATATTCTCCACATTCTAGTTCAAGTGAAAGTGATGAATCTACACCAAAAAAGGTAAATAAACATGCTAGTGGCTTGATTCCATTTTACTGTAGGATATGTGGCTTGTTTCTTATCAAGGTTATAATAACATAAATTTTTTTTTTTTAGTATAACTTTGCCATAAATAGCTCGTTTTTAATATTTAATATATAAAAAGCCTTCAATACTTCTATTTTAATTTTTTCTCCAATAACATTTTATAAGAGCAAAAAATATTCTACTTACTAGGTGGCTTAGGCCCTTCTTGACTAAAATATATTTTCTTTTTTAGAGGACCCGACAATATCACAGTGCAACTGCACATACGAGCCCAGACGCACATGAATTGGACCAAAACAAATAATAAACAATTTTATTTTTCTGAATTAGAATTTATTTTACTATTATAAATTCAACGGATACGATTAAGCTTATTTGATACCATGTGGTTTTGATAATTAATCAACAATATATAATATTTTTATCGACTACAATAATTATAAAATAAACAAAAAAGAAAAGTAATGTCTGGCGCAAATTAATTGGACCATCACCCAATCGTAATGAAAAATATTTATTTATCCAATAAAATCTCTTGTATAATTTTTTCTGGAAATTATATTATCAAGTGGGCGTTGAACAAATAATTTATGACGTTTGTTGAGTAGTTCAATTTAGTTACTTGTCAAAATGGTTCGCGGAAAGTGTTTATCTGACGATTTGAGAAATTCTATTGTTGCGGCCCATAAGAAAGGACTTTCTGGACATAAAATTGCTCAAAATTTAAGTATTCCTCAAGGAACTGTAAAAAATATAATTTCAAATTTTAAAAATCCGGAAATGTTGAAACAAAAGTTAAAACTGGCCGTGTTTCAAAGACTACCGAAAGAGATGATCATGCTCTTCGGACACTTATTAAATAAGATCGCCGAGCTTCTTCTCGTGTGTAAAATGGGCCCATGCAATTGGTAGACCAATTTCAAAAGACACTTGGGATATGGATTCTACAAGGTAAGTTTTTACAAGAAACACTTATCTCATCTTAAATATTCAAATTTATCATCTCACTTTAGGCAAAGGAAAAACCACTTCTCACAGAGAAACAAAAAAGAAACCGATTGTTATGGGCAAAAGAGCACCGAAACTGGGTTCAACGTCAATGGGATTCAGTTATCTGGAGTGATGAATCTAAGTTTGAGGTCTGTGTTGGCGATACACGAAGCAGAGTTATCCGAATGCCAGGAGAAGAATATCACAAAGATTGCCTCAAAAGAAAGGTTAAGTTTCCGGCATCTGTGATGGTCTGGGGCTGTATGTCCTCACAAGTAGTTGGACATCTCCTTTTCATTGATGGCACTGTCAATGCTATAAAGTACAAAAGTATTTTACAAGAAGAATTGTTGCCTTCCATTAATGAAATTCAACTGCCAGATGGAAAATTTATATTTCAACAAGATGGCGCAGCCTGCCATACAGCGAACTCCATAACATCATGGTTTCAGGAAATGAATATTCCTGTTTTAAACTGGCCTTCAAGCAGTCCTGACCTATCTCCTATTGAGACTCTTTGGCATCAGATGAAAAAAGCACTTCGAACTACCCCAGTTCGCACAATTCCTGAATTAAAGGTTAAAGTTCAGGAAATTTGGAATAACTTTCAACCATATTACTGTCAAACATTAGTAGGCACTATGCCACAGAGAATTGAAGCCATTATAAAACGTAAGGGTGACGTCACACAGTGGTAACGCTGACTAAATATTTGGTCCAATTAATTTGCGCCAGACATTAATTTTCCTTTTTTCTTTTTTTCATTTTATTATTATTGTAGTTGATAAAAGTCTTATATATTATTGATTAATTGTCAAAACCACATAGTATCAAATAAGCTTAATCGTATCCGTTGAATTTATAATAGTAAAATAAATTCTAATTCAGAAAAATAAAATTGTGTTTATTATTTGTTTTGGTCCAATTCATATGCGTCTGGGTTAATCAAGCTCAAGCAGAAGGCAGTAGGGGTTCAATTTTGAGTCCAGAAAAACTTCCACCAAATCAGTAGAGAAAAGTTGTTATTGAAAGAAGAAAGAAAGAAAACCAAAGCAAAAAAACGTCGAAATTTAGGACACACCTATATAAATTAGAAGGTTGAAGCAAAAGAAGCAAAAAAGATTGGATAGTCGTGTTAGTACATAAGAAAGTACAGAGAACTGCTTAGGGGTACTGAAACATCTACATTAATAGCTTTTGAATTTTAGCGACATACGATAATCAGAACACGTATTTATATGACACAATAAAAGTTACAGAGGAAAAGAGAAGCCACAAGAAAAAAACAAAAAATACAAGAGTCACCAAGAACATTTACCAACTTGTATTTTGTAAAAGTAAACGGAATAGACGCCCAGGTATGTAAACAGGATCTTTTAGCGGTTCATTGACTACAAAATTCAGCTAAGTGGGTTAAACTAATTTCAAAACAAATTTCGGAAGAAAGACCAACACCAAAAAAAAAACGACCTATCTACTACGGTCACAACCAACCAAACAAAGTTTCCCCGGATATGATACAATCGGTTCACGGCCACATTAGAAGTATCCCCAAATATATAAGCCATTGTAGTGGATATCTAATCCAAACAGAGTGTATTTAAATCAAGCCTTTATATGGCTTATTACATTGCATGGTGTAAACAGCTTAATAGTACTCCTGTTAATGAGGATCATTAACATAAAGTACAACAAAGGGTTTAAAATGTCTAAAAGCGATACTTGTTCAACCTGTGATTCACTGAATCTTCTGATAAGTGCAAATTAGGAAAATGAATCTGATGAGGCGAAATATCTCAAAATGAAATTATATTTACATCAAACTCGCGCACAGGTAATGCAGCAAAACCTTAAAGACGAAATTAAAAATAATGAAATCCAAAACACCGACATTATTTCATTTGGACTTACACCTTCCTTGACTATTAGCTTGGCATTTTACCTAAGAAAAGCGTGGACATAATCTTGGCATACATGACTGTGTATCAGGGCAATGTTTATGTGGACAGAGTCAGTTACAAATACAGGAAGTTCCGAAGTTGGTAGTGTACTTTTAAAATATGCAGCCCAGGACTGAAAAGCTTGTAGTGTTTAGCGATAACTGCAGGGGTCAAAACAAGAATTGACTAATAATGGCTTTATGGCAACAGTTAGTTTATAAAACTATAGAGCATCATTTTCTAATATCTGGACATACTCATTTGCCTTCAGTAGGATTTTGCTTTAATTAAAAAGCATATAAATTATATTAAGCAAGTGTTTTCCCCAGAAGAATGGTTTGATATTGTGAAAAATGGAACAGAAAAAATGGAAATGTCTCAAGAAGATTTTTATACTTTTCATGAGGTAATTATATCAAAAAAAAAAAAAAATACCACCTGGAAACGACCAATCAAGTTTGCAGACGTGCGCTGCTTTCAGTTAGATAGCGAACACCCAAATTCCATGTTCAGACACCTTAAATAGAAGCTTTAAAGAAGTATATTTTGGTAGAAGAGGTGTTAAGTTAGGCGACAAAATACTGAGAACAAAAAATGTTGAAAAAAAAAATGAAGGGCCAATAAAACTTTTCGAATATATTCCCCCCATAAACCAACAGTTTTGTCTCGGTATTATTAAAAATTCTTCAAGTAATATTGAACAGGACTTGGATCAAATTGATGAAACAGAGAATAGAGATGGGGATGCCGAAACTGATATTTTTTAATAAAAAAAAATTATTTTGTATATTTTTCACTTTAGAATTTATATTCGTTTTGTAATTATCAAGCCACATTTATTTTTTAATAAATTTTTATTTTCATAAAAGGTAGTTTTTACTTTAGTTTGGTGAAAAATATTTAACAATTTGTTATAGATGTAAGAAATGAAGTCAAACATTAACAAAAATTCAAATATGATTTCAGGATTACGTCCAAAACTTTAAACCTCATTTAATACAAATTTTTCCCGAGCCCTTCAATTTCTTTATGACATATTTCATTTTAGGTGAGAGATTTGGAAGAATAATGAGTAAACTAGCATTGGCAAGCATTCTTACCAATTTTGAAGTAACCAAATGTTCAGATACTCCTGTTTCTATTATTTTTGAGCCGATGAGTTTATTACTACTGTCCAATGTTGGAGTTCCTCTTCAATTCAAGAAGCTCCAGTGAAAATACTAAGAAATTGTACATTTATATCGTGTAATCAAAAAAATATTTCTAATGTGTTTAAATTTTACAATACGTGTTTGAAAATTATCGTAGCTAATTTTATAGATTTATGTAATAAATTAATATTTCTTACATTGATAATTTGTGACATTGGGTGTTAAACGTAATAATTTAATAAACATTATTAATATCAAGGCTTTTTATCTATTGTTCTCAAATAGCTATTCAGGCACATCTGGTTTTTAACACGCCACAAATTTTTCAAAATTATATTATAATTATTAATTAAAACTGTTTACACAGAACTATCAACTTAATAAGTATAACGTATTGAATCGGCAACAATTTAAATTTTATATACAGTGCCGTAACTTACACACGATAACAACAAACCTAACTATTTCATTTGTTTTCTTTTTACTTTCCTATCTGTATACAGATAAGGTGTAAGGGGTTTTCTTGCCACAGAGAAAACAGTTCCTTACGAATGGCGCTGGTTATGGGCGGTTCTCGAGCGCCAGATTTTTGGTTATGGTTTGCTCCACAAAATCTCAAAACGGCGTCGAAAGTACTCGGGTAGCTACAGATGGAGATGAAAAATTCCAGTGGTAAAACGTCACTTAGACACAGGTAATGGTAGGCCACAAGTAATGGGCTTTAATCGATGCTTGGGCTGGTACAGAATTTATCACTAGCTGAAATACAAGGGGAAAATAAAGTATATAATTAGTAACTAGTAATACGGCAAGTTAACATTGATACATAATTTATTGTGAACAACTATTTACACATTAAAAATAAAAAAAATTATATATTTCAACGCCCACCCTCGTTGCGGTGATATTCAATATAACCTTAAACAAAAATAAACAAACAAAACGGACGGTAATGAATCCCGACTAGTCTCAATCAGACGTCAAATTTGAACTAAAATAAAATGAGTTTTTCGGTCGCAGAAAAAATAAACTTGACTACTTAGTCAGTAATTAAACTAAAACATAATTTTCCATGTCGGTAAGGGAAAATTTCAAGAGCGGTCGTAGCAAAAATTAACTATTTAACTGTCGTATCAGGAATTAAACTAAAGTGTAGGTACTTTACTATTTTGGTAAGGAAGAATTATCAAAACGGTGGCAGAGAGTGCGAGGAGACAGGATCGCGAAAGAACTACTTATAGTAAATATACGGAAAGAGAAACAAAAATAAATTTATACACGGGGTAGCCTATTATCCCAGAATGAGCTGATCGTCATCACAAGCCCGCTCAGACAGGGTAATGAAGCTATTAAAGATTTCTGTAATTTGCAATTTGCACGAAAACAATAAGGAATACAAAGAAAATAAGAAAACTAACGCGGATAGCACCTAATCCAAGAATGAGCTGATCGTCATCACAAGCCCGCTCAGACAGGGACATAATACTATTTAAGGTTATTTAAATTTACGGTGAAAGAGAAAATAAAACTGTTATTATAGGGAAGAAAACTACTAACGCGGATAGTATCTACTCCACGAATAAGCTGATCGTCATTACGTCGCTTAGACAGGGACAGGATACTAATTAAGATTATTTTAATTTGCGGTTTGCACATTAACTAAAAAAAAATAACGCGGATAGCACCTTATCCAAGAATGAACTAATCATCATCATGAGCCCGTTCAGACAGGGACAGGACACTATTTAAGATTATTTAAATTTGCGGTAAAAGAATAAACAAACTATTAAAAGAGGGAAGACGTCTCCGTTTCTAAATATTCCCAACTAAAGTTAGAACGCGGCACTTACTAAACAAAGTATTTATTAATGAAATCAAATTTAATTCCCGATTTAACCCACCAAAAAGAAAAGTTTAATTTCTTAGGTCAGACTAACTATCAAAAGTCTAAATCAACGGTATTACAATTTTAACGAACTAAGCCCTATCATTTATTATTTAAATCATATTCAATTCCCTTTAAAGAAACGATATTCTATCTTCAAAGAGCCAATTACTAATATTTATTAATTAAATCAAATTAAATCTTTCTCCCAACAATATTTTTAAAATCGGTATTATATGTGCCAAAAAATAAATTCTAATATTTATTAATGAAATCAAATTATATCTTTTAACTTAACACTAAATTAAAATGATACTATTTCTAAAAGATGATTCGGTTTTTAAATGAAATAGGGTCTTAATATAAAACGTTTCTTCTATAAAGATATGAAAGTAAAAGCGAAACTAGGTTTTTTTTACCTAACGGATTTATAAAAACGATACGAAAAATTTATCGACAGCGAATTTAATTGGGAATGCGGCTTTTACTTTTAACTGGTTAAAATCAAGTTCGCGGCTAGAAATTTATATCGGTTTAAAATTGTATCTTTCGCGAGCAATATCGGAATCGTGGATTTCGGTGTCTAAATAATTTTTCTATTTTCGGCTGTTCGATAAATCGGTGTATTAGGAACTACAAAACCCCACGAACGGCAGTACCACCGCGCATCGATATGTCGATTGGCAGTGCGCAGCTGTTTTAGCCCTGGATCAACATTTCAAGCGCGGTTTAATATTTATTAAAAATCTGATGTGTCCAACACATGACTTTCCTATCTAGTTATTATAGGCTTTTTCCGGTTATTTTGTACAACCTATTGCAGCACCTCTATAAATATTTAGAGGATAACCTAAATATAAACATTTTCCCATACATCTACCTCGAAACATTTTTCTATAGATAGTAAAGGAGCAGCAACAGTTCGGCCTCATTCCCCATGTTAAATCCCATAAGAAATCGCTAAGGTTCATTCTGGCAATTTTTGTCGCTTTCAAGGTCACGCGTCGAAGTTCGAAGTCTGGGTTATCAGTAAACATGATAACGTCGAAAATCCAAGATGGCGGTAATAGTTGACGTAAACAACGAAAAATAAGCAAAAAATTCAACCTACCCTCCTTCACCCCCACGACCCCCTCATACTTATAAAATATGGTCGGTACATGTGATACGTCGTTGAAAAGGTCTTAACGTACAGAGTAAGGGAATAATAATGAAAAAATGTCTCTTTTAACGTAGAAGAGAAAAATCATGTGTAAAGCCAGAAGGGCCTTAGCGTATATCTCAGCTATCGTTGGTCCGATTTAAACGGGAAAAACGGCACTATGAAGAAGATGTGACGGGAAGAGAGGTAACCTACCCGCCGATGAGGATTTCACCAATGAGCGGCGAACATAACCCCCAGTTTAAACGGTCGTTAGACAGCTGCCCGTGGCCCCGGGGCCCGCCACGAGGCGCGCGCCACGCGGAGTCGCGCCGATGAACATAACCCCACTTTTAACGGTCGATCCGTCAATTGCGAGTCGCGCCGATGAGGATTTCCGCCGCCGAGGTAAACATAACCCCCACTTTGAACGATCGGCTGCCCGGGGGCCCGCCACGCGCCGATGAACATAACCGCACTTTCAATTGCCCCGATGAGGATTTCCGCCGCCGAGGTGAACATAACCCCCGCTTTGAACGATCGGCTGCCCGGGGGCCCGCACGGCATTATGAAAAGAACGATTAACGTAGAAGAGAAAAATATTGTGCAATGTCAAAAGGGCCTTAGCACGTATCTTCACTGCTATTGGTCCAATTCAAACGGGAAAAACGGCATTACGTAGAGATCGTGGTATAGATTAACGTCGAATAGGATTTTTGCGTAAAGCCAGAAGGGCCTTGGCGTATATCTCAGCTATCGTTGGTCCGATTTAAACGGGGAAAACAGGGTTATGCAGAGATCGTGGTATAGATTAACGTACAAGAGAATTTTAGCGTAAAGCCAGAAGGGCCTTAGCAAATATCTCAGCTATCGTTGGTCTGATTTAAACGGGAAAAAAACGACATTACGTAGAGAATGATGAACGTCGAATATAAAAATCATGCGCAATGCCATAAGGGCCTTAGCGTGTATCACGTGGTCCGATTCTTAAGTCCATAGATCAAACAGAAAAAGATGGTTTCGTTACGTTTCGTTTCGTTACGTTTCGTTACGTTTCGTTACGTTTCGTTACGTTTCGTTACGTTTCGTTACGTTTCGTTACGTTTCGTTACGTTTCGTTACGTTTCGTTACGTTTCGTTACGTTTCGTTACGTTTCGTTACGTTTCGTTACGTTTCGTTACGTTTCGTTACGTTTCGTTACGTTTCGTTACGTTTCGTTACGTTTCGTTACGTTTCGTTACGTTTCGTTACGTTTCGTTACGTTTCGTTACGTTTCGTTACGTTTCGTTACGTTTCGTTACGTTTCGTTACGTTTCGTTACGTTTCGTTACGTTTCGTTACGTTTCGTTACGTTTCGTTACGTTTCGTTACGTTTCGTTACGTTTCGTTACGTTTCGTTACGTTTCGTTACGTTTCGTTACGTTTCGTTACGTTTCGTTACGTTTCGTTACGTTTCGTTACGTTTCGTTACGTTTCGTTACGTTTCGTTACGTTTCGTTACGTTTCGTTACGTTTCGTTACGTTTCGTTACGTTTCATTACGTTTCGTTACGTTTCGTTACGTTTCGTTACGTTTCGTTACGTTTCGTTACGTTTCGTCACGTTTCGTCACGTTTCGTCACGTTTCGATACATTTCGTTACGTTTCGTTTCGTGGACAAAAGGACCTAAGTCTCGGTGGCATGTCACCAGGTGCAAAATGGTCAAAAGGATCTTAGGTGGACAAACGGATAGACAGACAAAAATACAGAAAAAAGGACAGGCAGACGGAAAGAGGAGACAAATATACGGTAAAGGATAAAATCATAAAAATTCGTATCTATCTATCGCTAAGTAAGTAAACAATGTCAAATGTCAAAATGCTAGGAAGGGGGAAACCAAAAAAGGTATAAACTTTGGAGGAAAAAATACTAAGAAATCATACAGAGAGCAGTGAAGACCTAAGATGATGTAGAAGCCAGTACAGGCCTAAGACGAAGAACAAAAAACTACTGAAGAAGAAGAAGAAGAAAAGGAAGAGTGAAACGTTAAAAGGGTGA